AAAAAAAAAAAAAAAAAAACACATCTTAGTAAAACCAATACCTTCCAGCTTCGCATCGAAGCTAAAATATATCAAAACAAAAATTGACCACCAGAATATGACCAAAAAAATGATTAAAAGAAATAACTAACAATAAAAAAAATTGACAAGGATATATTCTCCAATGAATTTAAATATAATTTTATCAATATATAAGATAAAATAATACAATAGAATTAATAAAATAATATAACATTTTAATAAATTAAAAGTTCATTTCACAATGTAATACTAATAATTATTAGAAAATATTTTTATTTTGTTCACAAAATTCCATATTAATTTTAAATATATTACATTCTTCGACAGCAATGTTCATTAACAAATATTTATCTAGAAAAAATGTCTAGTTTTTCAATTTTTTTTTCGCTTTTCCGGCACGTTTAAGGCTATAGCGACCTTTCTAAGAGGACTGTTCTTTACCATGTATATTTTGGAATGGGTGGCTAATCCACCACTAGAGAGAGAAATGGCAACTCTAATCACTAAACTGATGTCCTGTTAAGCATATGGAGCCGCCTGTGACCGAGTCTCGAACCCGAGATAATTCATAACAGGCACTGCCGCATTACCGACTAGGCCACACTGTCCCTACTAGTTTTTCTATATAGAGGCTATTTTTTAAATTTTTAACTAAATTATATTTTAATTGTCTTTATTGATATAGAAAATATGCAAGTAATAAAAATTGACCCTAATTTTGAAAAAAAAAAACATAATTTTCTTAAAAGTCTCACATTGAGTAAACACGAAATTGAAACTTACGAGAGAAATACTGCTTGTGTTACAAATTGGCAATTAAGGAAAAAAGACATCGGAAAACGTCTTCAAGCTAGTTATTTTCAACGTGCATGTACAATGCAGCCTACAACGTGTAGCAAGAAAATAATGGAAAAAATGTTGCACACCAATAAAAAAAATGAAGTTATTGAAACCGATGAAACCAAAAATGGCTTGTAATTAATAATTTGAATAATTAAATAAAATTTACCTAGAATATTTTTTTCATTAAACTATTTTTTATCTATAGGTATCGTTCTAAATATGGCATAAATAACGAAAAAGAAGCAATAAAAGAATTTAGAAATGAAATTAATGTAGAAATTCAATCATGTGGTGTATTTATTGATGAAAATTTAAACTATTTAAGTGCAAGTCCAGATGGTTTGGTTGGAAAGGATGGTATTGTTGAAGTGAAATGTCCTTTTAATGCTAGAGACATGACTCCTGAAGAGGCTATTAAGAGTAATAATATAAGATATGTCTATTTTGATAAAAACGGAAATCTATTACTTAAACGCAATTCTCAACAATTTTATCAAATACAAGGAGAATTGCACATAACAAAAAGACAGTATTGTTATTTCATAATTTGGACTCAAAAAGGTATTTCTTAAAATTGGTTTTTATAAAAAAATTATGAATTTAAGGCTTAATAAATGGTAAAAGAAAGTTACTAAAATATATCTAATGTCCGGTTGCATTACCTCTAGTATCATATATTACTATTGGGATAAGTTTTTTATATAATTTTTTGGGAAGTTAGTCAGTCACAGACATTTCTAAATAATTTTCAGAATTCCTAAATGATTCCGATTTTTTCGTCAAATTTCCAAGGACGGGTAATTTTGGAAAAAATTAAATATATTAATAATAGTCATAATATTTTATTCTAAAATAATGATTAAAAAAAGTTATTGAAATATAATCTAAAGTCTTCCTTTATAACTCTGGATTCAATTCCCTTTTTTAGGTCCCTAGACGTTAAAATAAATATGTCACCGTGTATTATTTTTAAGTAACATTTTTTATTAATCAATAAATAACAGACGTGTAAATAATAAAAGTAATTGCATATGTCTTGTATCGATAATAACTACTCCTGACTATAATTTATAAAATCTTGGTACAAAAATTTATAATTGATAATTAATATTTCACACAAAATCTGGTCACTATTACAATTCAAATTTGACTAACTTTCAAAAATTGAAGATCTTTACCGTAGATTGTTGAAGTTGAATCTGTTTATGTGCCTCAAAATGGATGAAAATTGACAAAAAGGGTGAAATATAGTGTTTTGTGTGTATCTTTTTATATATGTGTATATTAAAGACAAAAAAATGTATAAATCAATTTTATAGGAAAACATGTTAATATACATTATACATTTAAATACATTTTTGTATTATCGACTGTTAAGCGTAAATCTTAAAAACGGTATAATAAGAATTGATCACTTGTAGGTAATATTATTTAAAATTAAACATTTACTATCAGTATATGTTTAATATTAATGGTAGTAAAATTGTTTGATATCCTATACGCAATTTTTCATTTTAAATTAAAAAATAAATTTTTGTTATTAACATTTGTTAATATTAAGAATTAATACATTACATATGAAAATACATAAAATAATATTATAATATTTTATTTAACAAAATAATAATAAAAGTAGAAATTTTTCTTTAATGCTGAAATTAAATAGAAATTAATTTTTAGCTTCGATGCAAAGTTGTTTATTTATATTTTATTTTTATTTTTTGTTTGTGTCTGTTACCACTTTTCTCAGATCTCACTGAACCAATTTCTTTCAACAATACGTCAAAAGATCACAAAACTGCCATAACTTTTTCAAAAGTGAACATATTAATATATTTTTTTTTTACATATATGCATGATATTATTACCTTTCATTTGGTATAATTTTTTTATATATCTGACCCTTTAACTGCCCACAGGGGGGATTTAAAATGACAACTTTTTCGCAAAAAATTAATTTTTTCAACTTGACTTTTGAAAATGTTTCGGAAAGTCTGACACTTTTATATATATCTTAAATTAAAGCCAATGTAATATAATTTATTATGGAAAAAAAAATTTCGGACATTATTTTATCTACACGGTGAAAATGGCTACCGAATGCTATTTTTGTGTGAAAATTTTCGATTTTGTATTTTACATTTTTAACTTTATTATGCTATAACTTTTTGAAAAATGTATGGATCAGTACAATTTATTCATGAAGAGTAGTATTTATATACATCTTTCATTTGACATACTGTTTTTTTAAATCCGACCATTTCCCTATATACGAGGGGAGTTCAAATCTAAAAAATGCATGTAGAAAACAGAACTTTTTCAACTTAAATTTTGAAAGTGTTCCGGAAAGTCTGACACTTTTATATATATCTTAAATTAAAGCTAATGTAATATACTTTATTATACAAAAAAAAAAATTTCGGACTTCATTTTATCTTCATTGTAAAAACAGACATCAAAGTTGATAAAAAAAATACGATTTTTTAAAAAAAATTCTTTTTTATATTTTTAACTTTATAATGCTATAACTTTTTGAAAGATGTATGGATCAATATAATTCTTCTTTTTATGGATGCATAATCTCTTTAACTATCATTTGGTATAATTTTTTTATAAATCTGATCTTTTAACTGCCCACAGGGGGGATTTAAAATGACAACTTTTTCAGAAAAAATTAATTTAATTTAATTAATTTACTAGAAAGTAGAACTTTTACAACTTAAATTTTGAAAGTGTTCCGGAAAGTCTCACACTTTTATATATATCTTAAATTAAAGCTAATGTAATGCACTTTATTATGGAAAAAAAAAATTGACCTCTAGACTTGTCTTCATGGTGAAAATGGCTATCGTATGCTATTGCTATATTAAAATGCTATTATTCTGTGAAAATTCTCAATTTTATTTTTTACATTTTTAACTTTATAATGCTATAACTTATTGAAAAGTGTATGGATCAACATAATTTTTTTATGAGAAATAATAATTTTTAATAATCCCTTTTTCATTCGATATACTTTATCTGAATGAGGATATTAATAACGAACTAGCAGATCATGTTGCTTTTGGAATAATCCACCAATTTTTAGCTTAGATGCGAAGCTGAGAAGGTATTAATTTTACTATGATGTGTTTTTTTTTTTTTTTTTTTTTTTTTTTTTTTTTTTTGTTTTCC